CACACACACACACACACACACACACACACACACACACACACACACGCACACACACACAAACAGACACTGTTGTGGTGTCCGGCTCACCCAGTACAGCACGTCCGTCCAGCCCTCCATGGTTATACACTGGAACACCGTCAACATGGCAAAGGCAAAGTTGTCAAAGTTGGTGATGCCGTCGTTTGGGCCCTCCCATCCCACTTGGCAATCTGTTCCGTTGTGTTTACAGTGTCGACCGTAAGCCCCCTCAGGAGCGCACGGTGCCGGCTTTTCCTCTGCGATGGTGCCTGTGACACATAGAGAGGAGGAAGAGAAAAACTGTTATAGTGTATCCTTCATATCTGTACTGACGATTCCACCGTGGGAGTTTAACGCCCATCCAGTCTTTAGACGTGGTCCAACAGTAAGTCACGTTACACTACCTATCTAGAAAATGACTCGGACTCCTACTTCAGGAATGAGTATAAATCAACCCTCACTTTGCGATTCTACTACATTCTACTAGATTCTACTAGTACATCGAGAGGTAATTCTACATCTAGAAAAAGGTTAAACAAAGGACACGTCGAACTTTAACCAAACAGAGCAGCCATAAAAAAATCTATGTGAAAAAGTGTTTTGTTAATTATACAAAATAAGCTCTCGAGGGTGATGCATAGGATAACAGAGTATCCCACCAGCACTTACCCTGTGCAAAGCTAATGCCTCTCATGAGACCTATAACATCCCCATAACAACACTTAAGTCCATTTATACCTAGGGCCCTTTACTGGAAATTGTTTCAATCATTTATGGCAGCTGCTGTTTCAATTACTGCCCAAATTATTCACACTCAGAGACATAAATGATGGTTTAAATAATTAATGGGGGTTATCGTATAAACTGATTAAGCTCTATTTTCTCTCTGCTCTGTCGGCTGACAGGTGATGTCTTACTGTCAAAGATGTATGCAGCGCTTTTCCTGGTGAAAAGGTCTGTTTGGTATCGTATTGACCTGTGTGTCCATCTCTGGAGTTGAGGTGAGAATATATGCTTACTGAAGCATGCTTCAAATACTACCTGAGCATTGAGATAGCGGTGTGCGAGTGTATGTGTTTGATCATGCATGTAAGTATTTGCACATGTGCATCGGTGCGCACGAGTCTAGATATTCTCTCGACGCGCATGTGTGTGAGTGTGAGTGTGTGTGTGTGTGTGTACCTGTGTGCTCGTGAGAGCAGGTCTTGTGCATCTTGCCCATGAAGAGCTCCAGGCCAATGATGGCATAGATGATGATGACAAAGAGGACCAGCAGGGCGATATGGAGCAGAGGAACCATGGCTTTGATTATGGAGTTCAACACTACCTGTAAACCTGCAGCACACACACACACACACACACACACACACACACACAGAGGAACTGCTGAGAACACACAACGGGTGGACAGAAAACTAGTAAAAAAAGAGTATTGAAACTAATGATGAAAGACTTTTTGTTATATAAAAGCACTGGTAGTACATCATATAGCAGAATAGTGTGAGCACTCCAACTGACTATTATATTTGCTCTAAAGCTTTATTAATAGTCCTGCATGTGATCATTCACTCAGAGAAAGCGCCTTCTATGAGTTTCTGAGAAACACTGTAGTGATAAAACAGAACTTGTTTGATACAACGTTCCAGTTAATTCACTGAATGCTTTGATGGACAAATGCTCAGAACACTGCATACTAATAACTCACAACACAGGGATAGGATTCGATTCATTTAAGGAGGCTTATCAGTATGAAGCTCAGTTTTTTCAATTTGAAAGATTCAGATGTGCTTATATAAATAAACTCCTTATCAGATCACTTAATTTCACGTTGATAAAAACAGTTCAGCTTGATTTTTTACAAAGAGAATAAGAATTCACTTAAAGTGTGTTTGCATGCAGCTGTAACCAGTGACATAGATCCATTTGTGCAAAACTATAGTACCTATTAAGTGTGCTAACGGTGCTATTACACCTTTAAGATGAAAATGAAGGCCTACATTGTTCTGTGACAACAATAAAGATATGTCTATCATCAATTGAATTGTTATCAAAAATGACTTTTGTGCAATTATTCGCACATAATTTGATGAAGACATAAGTGCAAACCACACAGTAAACAGCATAAATGATTACATTTCGAAACACTTGTTTCTTCCATCAGTCGTCACAAAAATCGAGAACACAAATCAGTTGAACAAAACAAACAGATCATTATTTGTTTTTGTAAATTCTATTGCACATAAAGCAGCATTGGCACTGGGAGCCTTTAAAAAAAGATGCAAGTCCGTCAGTCAGTGTGCTGATCAGCTAGCAAACATGCAGCTGATCAGTTGCCATGATACAGATTCAACACAGTGCAGTAACGTTGGACAGGGATCAAACTAAATACTGTGCACTGCAGCAGCGCTCGCAGTTTAGAACCAAACGACAAGAGTGTGGGATTTTCACCGGCATGCTGTGCATTTGCCTGCTTTTGTAATTACAAGAGGTGTCTCTCTCACACACACACACACACACACACACACACACACACACACACACACGCGAGTGCATGCATTCGCAAAGCCTTCCTCCAGATATCTGATCCTCCTGTCCTGTTGTATTATTGATTTCTGTAGTCGCTAACACAGACGGGCTGACAGACAAGTCATCTACTGCTCATACCGTCTGAGTATCTGACAACAGGACTCTTTGTGCGAGCATGTGTATTACGTGTCACTGCGAATGTATGTGTGGCATCGAGCGGCAATATCAGCTCCAATCTGCGGTTCGTTTCTGCCCCACCTCACCCAATCACCGTTCACACCTGATCCTCAGCGCCTCGTTTTCTCGCGCTCTCTTTCTTTTCTGCCTTTCTTTCACCCGGTCTTTTTTTCTTCCACGGCTCTCAGTACTTACTGGGTACTCCAGAGACCAGTCTGAGGGGTCGGAGTACTCTGAACGCCCTCAGAGCCTTGACATCGAAGCCCGCCGCCTTCCCTCCAATAGGAGTGGCCCCGTCCCCCTTGGTGGCCTGCTCCAAGATCGCACTGAATAACCTGCAAGACAGAAAGTAATGACTTCAATAACCATCATCCTCAGCTTTGACGTCCCATTTCCATATACCAGAGAATATCTGAGATGAAAACAATAAAAGAGATGCAGATTATATTATAGAGTGATGGATCTCTGCAGTTGCTGTCATTATGGCCTTATTTTCTATTTCCTCTGCTGTCACCGACTGCTGTCAATACCAACCTGAACCATCTACATCATCTTTATCATAACTTATAAAACAATGATGTAAGTTTAGACGTAAACCCGGTTTGGGACCAAAATCTTAAAAATCAAAAGGGAATGGTGAAGACGTATGCGCTGTTTTACAATCATATGTGCTTCCTGGAAACAACACAGTAGGAAATAAAACAGCTTAATTAGGTTGCTCTCCAACACAACAATGGAAAGTGTTTCATCTGTTCCCTCTCTCTTTCACAGATAAGGAAATGTGAGACACTCGGCTTTAATGATTTGACAGCCGGCTCAACAGCACACTGTGCATGTCTGGACTGAAGAGAGATGTCTCCAAAATGTGCTTGTGAGTGTGTGCTCGCAGCACATTGACGACAACACATATTTACATTTTGCCATGTGATGTTACACAACCTTTCCCGTCTCTCTGCTGTGACATCTGGTACTTAAAGCGGGGACAAATGCACAATAATGTAAGCGGTCATCCTCTATAAAAGACTATGTTTTACGCTGTAGCTATTTGTTAGCGGTTAGCTTCTTCTACTGTATGTATGTGGACACTTCTGTCCATTTGTATTTTGAGTCTGGTCTGGCGCTGGTTTTCAGGCCCCTTAGTGTAATTATAATCTTCAATAAAAGGGCTAAACATGTTTTCATGCTGTTGCCTTTTGTTGACTATTATCCCCGATGAATGTATTTACAGACATCTCTTAAGATGTCAGTGGCTTCACAAGCTTGAATATATGTTCGTCCAGCTGAGCTCATCACTCTCTCTCCTCTCTCGGAGATCCTTTAGAAATCACCATACAATGCCATTTTCCAGCTAGCGCGGCTCAAAGGCCAGTCAGCGGCGCGTTAGTCATGGAGAATTATCAATTAGCACAGATGAAATGGCCACTTGAAAAGACCTCTCAAAATATATCGCCCTCTCTCGCTCACTCTCCCTGGTCCTCTCTATTTTGCACTTCCTCCATCTCAGTTTGATTCACTCTCTCTCTCTCTCCCTCCTTTGAAACAGAGTATGAAAAGCACGTCGAGGATCCACAGTTTTGCACCACCAGCATTTCGCCCAGCGTGTTTTGCCATGGCGGGGTGTGAAATGATAATTAGAGCCTCTGAGTGTAGCGCCACATAATGGCTTGTGTACATCCACAGCTAAAGATAGCAGAAGCTGTGTACATTCATAAAGATAACAGGAGTTGTATGGTTTAATAGTCGTCAAACCACCACGATACTACTGGATTCATTTTCTTATTATTACAAATTCACAATGGGTCTGCAAATAATTATGTTTATTATCAATTAATCGATTAATTGATTTTTTTTCGAGTGTAATATATAAATTGTCATTAAGTGGAGAAAATGTTCCCATAGCCTAAGGTGGTGTCTTTAAATCACTATTTTTGCCGGACCAAATCTAAAGCCAATGTTCAATGATTGAAAACACAGAGATCCACGAAATCCTCAAATTTGTTGGCTGGAACCAGTTTAACCAGTTGAGTTTTGAAAGATTCAGTTCAAATCTTTGCCTGAAGCTTCTTTTTTGTGATGATCCAACAGCTATCTGTACTGTCAATACTGAGAAAGAAGAACTGAGGTACAAGGAGCACAAGCAAGAAGAGGAGAATAATACATGTTAGAGTCTATATAGTACCTATTCATATTGTACACACACACACACACACACACACACACACACTCACACACAGCCTGTTAGCTCACTGAACCTTTGCTAATAAACTTTTAGGTTTGTGTCAGTAGGACTGTAGGCTCTAGTATTGGTGTGTATGTGCAAGTGCTCTTGTCTGCATGCCTGTGTGTGTGTGTGTGTGTGTGTGTGTGTGTGTGTGAGAGTGTGTGTGTGCCTCCAAGGCTGCTCAGCACCAGGTACAAGCTCTTTCACCCATATGGTGAACATTCCAGAGGGAGCGAACTCTGTCACTTCTCATCTAGACACACACACACACACACACACACACACACACACACACACACACACACACACGTGCACACACACACACACACACACACACACTGGCAGTTAGGCACATCCAGGCACAAAGACAATCACTCAGTCATGCACACACAGAGATGCAGTGCTGTCACAGCTGAACATTCCCTGGATCTGTGTCGTCTTTGAGTGTGTGAAATAGATGGAGTGTATATGTATTACTGATTTCACGACATAACTAATGGATCTGTGTCATTTCCATGACAAGTATATCTAAATGACAAAATAGATCGAAGTCACAGAGCCTTCCAAAATGACACATTGAGACTTTCTCGTCTGCTTTAGGTTTGAATTAAGCTTGGGAAAAGTTTGTGATCAAGGATTAAAATCCCCGTTATGATGACAAATATCATGGAGGGAACTTGACATGAATTAAGGGCCTTTTGAACAAATGACCAATGCTTTAGCTCTACAGGCATTATTATGCCATCACATTGCTTTTAACTGGATTCCCGCTCACGCATAACCTTTTTAGTACACAAGTCAACATTTTAAACAGTTACCGTGTCAAAGTGGAAAGAACAATGTGGTCACTTCAATAGAATAAGTCTGTTTATTTTGGCCATGTGAAGGGGAAAAAAGTGGAAGGTTTTTTAATGTGACTAAGGAAAATATTAAAAACCCCAGGGAACATCTTGAGAGGCAATTCAGATTTAATCTTCCAAACCAGCAAGCGCCAACTCTCCAAAAACTGTCCTTGAGCAAGAGCACCACCACTGAACCCTGCCAATTCCAGAGCTGCAGCAGGTATCCGACCTTCTGAACTTACTTTGGCAGGGTTACAAGGTAAAAGCTAATTTCCTTAAAGGGATCAATACAATATCATTGTACATCAAATTATGCTGCATCACAATAAAATCCATAATCGCAATAGAGCGAGAGCGAGGGAGAGAGAGAGAGAGAGGGGGGGGGGGAGGGAGGAGGGCAGACGGAGAGGAAAAAACCAGCATACGAGTGGTAAAGGTTGTGTTTATGCCAGGGGCACTGACACCGTGATGCCAGCCGATGAGAGTGGTTGGCTTCACCCCAAAGACACACACATACAGTGAGCCTTTGGGGTGAAGCCAACCATGTTCAGTTGGTGATGGCTAATGTGAGTGCACACTTGACTGGCCATGAACAAGACTCACTGGCTTAGTGTGTGTGTGTGTGTGTGTGTGTGTGTGTGTGTGTGTGTTAGTGCATTCACAGAGCCTTTCTTCAGGCTGTGGGGTGCTTTCTTGCAGCGCATGCACACACACACACAGACACACACAGACACAGACACACACACACACAGACACACACAAACGGTCAATTAAACCATTTTTATGGCATTAATGCAACTGTCAGGTCCACTGGCTATTGTGCCATTTCCCCCACACAACACTGTACGCAAAGCACAGCTGGGAGGCAGGACACGCACGCACACACACACACACACGCACACACATCCACACAGGCACAGAGGGTTTAGCAGATGGGCTATGTTGCTGAGTTGCAGATAAAGAAAACCAGAGCAAAGCTTTGCTATCAGCATCTAACAAGCTAATCAGTTTAGGCTTCACCAATACACTGTAGACCAAAGTTTACTGCGGCTTGAATGCAGACTCACTGCGAAGGAGGATTGTTTTATGGCAATACTTAGTTGTGTATTGTAGTATTGTAATATTAATACCACATATACTGAGAGTTAAGTATCATTCCTGCAGACAAACAAGAACCACATCTTTCTTTTTTCTGCCTGTCTGAAATTTGCATTGTAGGTCTGCTGATTGGATTTTGAAAATACGTTGAATTAGATTAAACAAAAAAAAAAAATCCATCAACCAAGCTTAAGTGAATAAATGTAAGCAAAGATACGAGTAAGTGCAGTAGCTTCCTTGTATTTACTACAGAAATCAAAGGTGTTCATGGGAAATACGATCTTCATTTTGTAAGACGCTAGCACTACGAGTATCTCTGGCGTTGGACAGAGGCTGCCAATTGTCTTGGCTGTAGTGTCATTTGTTGACAGTTATACCAAGGTACTATGATTAATTTGTCAATGATGTGCTGATGTTTAAAAATGTGTCAGGTTTTTACAAACCCTGCAAAGAGACGGTGAATTCTAACTCTACAGGACTTGCTATCATCGTCATTCCTTCTATCAAACTACATAGATCCACTCAGACTAACATAAAGCCCTATCCATATAAATATATATATACTGTATACATGCAGTATATCACAGTTATGCTTTCTGTCCACTCACCCTACTACTACGATGATGAAGTCGAGCAGATTCCAGCCGTTCCTCAGGTAGGCGTTGGGGTGGAAGAGCAGGCCGTAGGCTATTACCTTCAAGAAAGCCTCCACCGTGAAAATGATGAGGAACAGATACTCCACACGCTCCTGTAGAGACACACAAACAAGACCGGTCCATATATTAGCCTGAGCGGCTCAATGTGACAGAGCAGAGCATCAGGAGACCGTAGATGAAAGAGAGATTATAGTCATGAAGTCTGTGGTAAACTGAGTTTCACTTGTGTGAGTAGATACTCTTAACGGGACAGCACATATTGGGACACACCAATGGAACAAGAGAACAACAAACATCTATTCGAAATTCTTAAAGGTTAGTTCGAGCAACTGGCCAAACAAAAGCACTAAGATACACACACATTCATTCACAATGACAACACTGAAGACCTGTATGTGACTTATGAGTACCAACAGTGCTGGCTGCGTGCTCCTCTCAGTTTATCAGCCAGAACGAGACGTTCTCTTACTGTTTAAGTGGCTTCTGGTGTGTGTGTGTGTGTGCGTGTGTTTGATTATTTATGTGTGAACATGTATTTGTCTAACTTGTAACCGTGTACACAATCAAAGCATTTGGATTATTCAATGAAAGCGGCTCTCTTCCTGTCCGAAGAGGCTACTACATGAAGAGGAATGTACGCGTGTGTGCACGTATACACACATGCACACACACACACACACACACACACACGAGCAACTCTTCTACTACAGAGTTCCTCAGAGATTGTTGTCACAGTGATGACCCCTGCCTAAGAGGGCCCTGGGAAATGTCCTGAAATGGCCTCGGGACAGAGAAAGGGATTATGTAACTTTCTGACCACCAATTCATCACACACCAAGTCATCAGTCATATCGGCTTGTAACAGAAATAAGAAATAAGAACTACTAAGTTGCTTTTTAAACAAAGCAAAAAAATGTCATTACTCAGAAACATTCCCTGCCGCTCTGAGGTACATAGTTTTAAATATATTTAGCTCCATCTATCAATCTATCCATCCATCTCAGTCCCTGCTCCTCCTCCTGTTCCCGCTGTTTTCCCATGGACACACACCCACAGAGGGCCAGAGGTTTGGGACAGAAGGTCAGCCAGGTCTCTCCAGACTCAAAGCCCCATCCCTGGGAGGAAACCAGCTGAACCTGAGGCTGAAGGGACACAACATCTGTATATATGTCCGCGTTTACCGAAATAGCTTCACAGCCGATATAGTGTGCAAAGAATCACCACGAAACAATGTAATGGCGGTCTTTCATCGGGCATATTAAGCTGTGCACCTGTGCAAATGTAACCCCTACAAACAGAACGTTCTTTATATTCCAAGATACTGACTGTAAAATAGTTTTACTCAAATGATCCACCTTTAACAGCTCGTAAGAATGGGTTGTTGAAGTGTAAAGATCGTGTCAGCGTTGGATAGGCTGCATGAAGATTTGCTGAGGAGGCTGATGTGAGGCTTACGTTGGTCCAGCTAAACAAACAACTTAGGCCACTTGCATACACACATATTGTGGGCCATGGGAATCAGTCATCTACTCTATGTAGCCACTGTTTTGACACATTTGTAACTTCTAAGAACTACAGGTTAGAATGGTGTTCATGTCAGTTGGATTTGCAGAGCGCCATCTTCTCAGCAGCTGACACCGCATTGCATTTTCAAGATACTGGTAAAAGAGTCATGCTTTGATTTTGTCTTCTTAATGATGTGATTATCATACAGGCTATGATTTTGGAAGCGTTTTTTTTCTCACACTTAGAAATGCTCAGGAAGCTTGACGGTGGAGGGAATGAGATGAATTATAATACGCCGGATTTGCACAGTTTGAAAGACAGACAACTTGAAAGGCGAGCTGATTTTAGGTCAGGGATTGTGCACCTGAATGGGCTGCTCAGAAAGCCGTCTTAAACTTGTTTTGCTTCTCGCCTCTGTTGCTCTAACCGCCTCTCATTTCAATTCAAGTCCACCTCGTCTGCTTTATTGGCACAAAGGCATTCAGCTTAAAGATAAAGATCAAGATTTTCACCTTAAATAACGATTTTATCTGTGTGTATGTGTCTTTTTCTTTGCCTGGAGAATTGATTTTTTTTTATAGTCGTCATTCGTACTGCAGACCCTCCACCACACAGTGAGTACAAGTAGTCTATGTGGAAGTAATTAATCTAAAACATGCACACACACACACACACACACACACACACACTCACACACACACACACACACACACACACACACACACTTATCCTTCCTCTCAAATACACAAAAGCTCTCCATCCCTCTCTCTCTCAAACACACACACACCCAGGCTGTGTATCTGCCGGTGACAGGCAGACAGTGCGGCGCTCAGGAGAATAAAACAGAGAAAAACATCTGGTTGGAACAGCTCAGCCTGAGACACACACACACACACACACACACACACACACACACACACACACACA